AGTCGCCGCTGCTGTGGTACTTGGCGCTCAACGACGTGCTGGTCGGCGCCGGGTGGAAGAAGAGCCTAGTCGATGAGGCCCTGTACTTCAGGATCGGCGACGACGGAGTGGCCTGCTGGGTGCTGGTCTACGTCGACGACCTGCTCGCCGCGAGCAGTAGTGCCGAGATGCTGAAGGAGCTGAAGGAGCTGCTGGAGGCCGCCTTCGAGCTGCGCGAGATCTCGCCGGTGCAGAAGTACCTCGGGCTGGAGATCGTGCGCGACAGGCCGGCGAGGAAGCTGTGGCTGCACCAGCAGGGCTACGCCGACAAGCTGCGTAGGCGCTTCATCGACGAGGAGGAGACTGGTCGCACTCCAAAGACGCCGGTCTCGGTCGACGCCTACGCCGAGCTCACCTTCGACGACGAGGAGGCACAGGAGCGACAGGAGGAAGAGTACCGGCAGAAAGTCGGCTCGCTGCAGTTCGTGGCGACAACGACGAGGCCGGACATCGCCTTCGCCCGCAACAAGCTGGGGAGCGGCCTCACGGTGAGGAGCGACCAGCACTGGCGCGAGGTCGACCGCTGCCACGCCTACCTCGCAAACACGCGTGACACCGCCCTGGAGTTCGGCGGTGGACCTGAGTCACTGGAGCTGGTCGGCTACGTGGACGCCGACGATGCAGGTGACAAGCAGAAGAGGACAAGCACCGGAGGGTACTTGTTTGTCTACGGAGGGGCCGCGGTCTCCTGGTCGAGCCAGCGCATCAAGTGCGCAACGTTGTCGTCGACCAAGTCGGAGTACGTGGCGGCCACTGAAGCCGGCAAGGAGGGGCGCCGCCTTCGCTTCCTCCTCGCAGAGTTCCGGCAGCTGGATGCCGGGAAGCCGACCGTCCTTCGAGTGGACAACAAGTCGGCCATCTCGGTCGCCGAGGGCATGGGGTTGACGGGCAACCTCAAACACATGGAGCGGCGACAGGCCTGGCTGCAGCACATGGTGAAGCGCGGGAAGTTTTCGCTGAAGTACATCCCGACCGCTGAGCAGCCGGCCGACTTCCTGACGAAGGCGTTGCACTACCCGGCCTTCAACCGGTGCTCCGTTGCAATTGGCCAAGTGCGCCTGGCCGATGTGGGCGACGGTAACAACGACGTGCAGCAGTAGGTGCCATGCCCTCTTGCATGGCTGGTGCGGTGACCGGCGTGCTGTGCGTTGTGTGCACGCCCGGGCTATTCTCCGAGCAGGCAACTGAACAGACGGGTTGTGGAAGCGGTGATGCCACACGTGCATGTGAGCGGTGTGGAAGCTCTTGAAGTGCCGCTCGCCGGGTGTTGTTGTGGATTGCGCCCACGAAATCCTATCTGTGCATATCTTGCACTGTCGCTTCCCGTCTATCCCTTTAGGCCCGAACATTTGTACCTGCCAGCCCGGTTTCTTTGCACCCTTGACAGTCCCCCTACTACTCTCCGACTCTCCGTCCTCATCAAGGAACTCCGGGGCGATACACCTTCTCCCAGTGACTCCCCAGTGAACGTGCATGGATACGCTCGAACCCTGTTCTTGGACACCCTCTTCCGTTTGCACAGCGGCGTGACGATCGGTTTCTTCTTCGCCACCCTAACCCCCACGCTCCCGCCTCCTTCAACTACGTGCTGGGAGGCCGCCTCTGCAGCCACCCCTCCACCACCCTCTCCCACCCCCTCCTCCTCGTCCTCGACCTCCAAATCATCCATCTCCTCGTCTTCATCGTCTCCCCCCCCCTCCCCTCCGCCATGCGTCTCGGGACCCCACCCTCACTGTCGTCCCCGCTACCCTCCTCGTCCTCCGCCTCTTCCTCCTCCCCCTCGTCCTCCCCCTCACCATCATCCTCACTGCCGCTCTCCTGCGGCGTCGCCCCAGTGCTATGGAATCGCACGCCACTTAAACGGAACGAGTGACGGGATGCCCTCGCCCCTACGGAAAGAAACCCCCCGACAAAACAGCTGCCGGCTCCTGCGGGTCCGTCACCTACACGGCCCTGCATAGGCCGTGGTGGAGAACCTGGTGTACCACCGGGACCAATGCCTGCACCTCGCCCTGCAGATCCGGATTGGCCGGAAGCCATAACTCCTCCTTGGAACCCTAAACCCTAAATCCCGTGAGCAACGACCGCGGCCTAAACTCGCGTGCTACGGACAGCACAGTCCTCCTTAATCAACTCCTAGTTACGGAATGCGCACAGACGAGCCAAGCCCGTCCACTGTGGGTTGGCCCGCTAGAAGTGGAATCGATGGAGAAAAAGCTAAAAACAACCGAGAATTTCCCCTACGCCTATCCTTAATTATAGGCTAAGTTGAAGGAAATGACGAGGTTCCTTTACTAACGGATGCTCAAACAGCTAGGCTATGGTGGTTGGGGGCGGCCATAATAGTCTTTGCAAGGGATTTGAGTTTGAGCTCAAAGAATGAGCTCAAACTCAAATTGGCCGCGACCTAAATTTGGTCGCGGCCAAAAATGACGCGAACACTTTCGTGTTCGCGTCCCCACATTTCGAACACGAACAGTGTTCGTGTTCGCCCATGTAGGGCCACGAGCAATAGTCGAACGGCGAACATGTTCGGCCGAACACCGAACATGTTCGCCTCGAACGGATAAGGCAAAAAAAAAAGCCTGTTCGGTTCGCCTCGAACATGTTCAAGGCGAACCGAACAGGCGTTCCTCACTTTGCTCAACCCTAGCACGCCGACGGGCTATTCTCCGAGCAGTGCTGCCGTGTGGGCTGGGGGGGCCCAAGCGTGAACGCGGCAGGGGAGTGTCAACGGGAGTAGTGTTTGGCCCCGTCCTCGCTTGGGCGGAGCCGACCTCGACAACCGCGGGAGACCACGGGGCCGCGGGAGACCGCGGGGCCGCGGAAGGCCGCGGGAGGCCGCGGGAGACCGCGGGGCCGCGGAAGGCTGCGGAAGGCCGCGGGAGACCGCGGGGCCGCGGAAGGCCGCGGGAGGCCGTGGGAGACTGCGGGGCCGCGGAAGGCCGCGGGAGGCCGCGGGAGACCGCGGGGCCGCGGAAGGCCGCAGGAGGCCGCGGGAGACCGCGGGGCCGCGGAAGGCCGCGGGGGGGCCGCGGGAGACCGCGGGGCCGCGGAAGGCCGCGGGAGGCCGCGGGAGACCGCGGGGCCGCGGAAGGCCGCGGGAGGCCGCGGGAGACCGCGGGGCCGCGGAAGGCCGCGGGAGACCGCGGGGCCGCGGAAGGCCGCGGGAGGCCGCGGGAGACGGCGGGGCCGCGGGAGGCCGCGGGAGACCGTGGGGCCGCGGAAGGCCGCGGGAGGCCGCGGGAGACAACCACGGGACCACGGGACCGCGGGGACCGCGGTGGCCACGGATGGACGACCGGGGGCCACGGGGGCCGCGGGATACCCGGTCGACCAGTATACCGGGGCGACGTGTGCGAAAGTCGCCGGGGGTGGTTTCTGCGAGGACGACCTCGGGGGTGGTATCCCGAGGTCGACGTGGCTGGTGGGCGCCGTCACGGGTGGAGTGTCTGCGCTGGGCATGTGACGGGGCGTTGGGCGCCAACCAGCTGCACGCACCTGCGAAGCTGGTGCACCGTTGTCAGGCGGGTGCAACGCTGTGCAGCCGACTTGCTGCAGCGTTGGCACACCGCGGACCTGCAACATTGGCAAGCCGCGACTCTGCTCTGCTGCAGCGCGGTCGACCATGTCGTGCTGGCACGCGGTCGACCGTGCTGCGCTGGCAGTCGACCAGCAGCCTTGCTAGGTCTGATGTAGTCTGTGTTGCCAATGTTGTTGCTATCATTGTTGTGAACTTTTGCTAGTGAAACTCTTTCCAAATTTCCCTGTGAACCAGCAAGCAGTGCAAGCACAAGTAAACGACTAAGGAACGAACGCAGAGATCACACGAGCATCCGTGCCTAGCCCGTAGTCTAGCTCCCGTTGCTAAAGTTATCTCCGCAGCACACACAGGCGTGGTAAGGACAGGCGCACACACGGGCGTGGTAAGGACAGGCGCACACACGGGCGTGGTAAGGACAGGCGCACACACAGGCGTGGTAAGGACAGGCGCACACACAGGCGTGGTAAGGACAGGCGCACACATAGGCGTGGTAAGGACAAGCGCACACACAGGCGTGGTAAGGACAGGCGCACACACAGGCGTGGTAAGGACAGGCGCACACACAGGCGTGGTAAGGACAGGCGCACACACAGGCGTGGTAAGGACAGGCGCACACACAGGCGTGGTAAGGACAGGCGCACACACAGGCGTGGTAAGGACAGGCGCACACACAGGCGTGGTAAGGACAGGCGCACACACAGGCGTGGTAAGGACAGGCGCACACACAGGCGTGGTAAGGACAGGCGCACACACAGGCGTGGTAAGGACAGGCGCACACACTGGCGTGGTAAGGACAGGCGCACACACAGGCGTGGTAAGGACAGGCGCACACACAGGCGTGGTAAGGACAGGCGCACACACAGGCGTGGTAAGGACAGGCGCACACACAGGCGTGGTAAGGACAGGCGCACACACAGGCGTGGTAAGGACAGGCGCACACACAGGCGTGGTAAGGACAGGCGCACACACAGGCGTGGTAAGGACAGGCGCACACACAGGCGTGGTAAGGACAGGCGCAGGGAGGATGGCGAGGAAGGAGAGGCATGCGAGTGTGGGGTGGGGGAGGTGCCACGACCACGCGCACGCATGCTGGGGTTTGGGAGGGAGGCGAGGAAGTCAAGGACAGGCGAGCAGCTCCATTCCAAGGCTCTATTCCCACCCAGCTGAACCCAGTCCGTCACTTGTTGTGAGTGGTACTCACTCACAGCTTCCTACACTCCTCTCACATGCAGCACTGCCACGTGGCACGCACATACCCACCCTTGACATGCTCCCCACACCATCTTGCCCCACCACGTCACATCCCCTTTGGCCCCCCACCCCCTTGCCCTGCACTACACCACACCACGCCACTCCCGCCACTCCGCCACGGCACGGCACGGCACCCCATGCACCTGCAGCACGGCACCCCATGCACCTGCAGCTGGTCGGCGGCGTCGCGGTACTGCCGGTTGGCTGCCAGCGCCTGCAGGCGATCCACCGCAAACACTGGTGGGGGGGAGGGGAGGGAAGGCCGGGAGGGAAGGTTGTGGCCATTCAGGGACAAGTGGTTCTTTAGAATTCTCAAAAATTGCTCTTTTGGCTGATTCAGCAACTGTAACCCCGGCAGCATGGCAGCAGGAGTGGGCGTTGGTATGAGGCGCACCGAGCATGGCGAGGCGGTTGAGGGCGGTGATGGTGGCGGTGATGTGCTTCTTGGCGCAGTCGAGCTTCTTGATGTCGCGGCATATCTCCTGCACCATCACCTCGCTCTGCTCCGCCTTCGCCTTTATCGCCCTCATCTTCACCCACAGCTCCTGGGGTGAGGGGGGAGGGGGGGAGGGGCAGGGGGCAGAAGGGCGAGATGCATGGCGCATGGCGGGCGCCATCTCAACAAGAAGCACACGAGGTGGGGAAGGCGGAGGGGAATAGGCAGAGAAGGTGGGCGATGGGCAGCACACACCGGGCAGAGCGGTGTGGGGTGGGGGGGTGAGTTGAATATGGAAGCAACATGGGAGGACACATGCTTTCTCCCCTCCCATCCCGTCCCACCCCATCCCATCCCATCCCACCCCCTCCCATCCCATCCCACCCATCCCATCCCATCCCACCCCCTCCCATCCCATCCCCATCCCATCCCATCCCACCCATCCCATGGCATGCATGCATGCACCCAAGGGCGCACCTCAATGGCGCGCATGGAGGCTGCCAGGTCGTCCTTGGCTTGCGACCCTGACGTGCTCTGCCATGCCATGCCATGCACAAAAAATCGTATGCCATGACATGCATTATGCACCGCACATCACATGCCATGCCATTCACATGATGACATGCGACAGCATGTGATACGATAACATGCCATGCCATGCCACGTAATGCACAACAGCTATGCATGTGAGTGGAAACATGCATCTTTCATAGAACGCTGATAGTTGTTCGAATCAACCTGATGCCCAGATGTGGCATCTCTTTCTATTCTGCCGCACTGGTTCAACTGCTGCCCTGTATGATTCATCTGCCGTCCCATTATTCGCCCAGCAGCCCTGCATGTTTCAGCTGCAGCCCACCCTGTTTAACCTGTCGTCCCACAAGCGTCACCTTTTGTGTGCATCAGCTGCCCCAGGGCTGCCCAAAACGTTTCATCAGCTGCCCAAACGTTTAATTAGCTGCCCAAACGACTGCCCAAACGTTTAATCTACTGCCCAAACGTTGCCTCAACTGCCCAAACGTTTCATTAGCTGCCCAAACGTTTCATCAGCTGCCCGAACGTTTCATCAGCTGCCCCAGGGCTGCACCTGCTGGCGGATGACTCACCTGCTGGCGGATGGCTCACCTGCTGGCGGATGGCGAGGAGGATCTCGGCGTCGACGCGGCGGATGCGGTTCCTGAGCTTCTGGATGAGCGGATCCACCGCCGCCAACGACGACTCTGCCATTTGGGGGAGGGGAAAGGCCGGCGAAGGCGGGGTGCGGGTTGGGGGAGAGGAGAGGAGCATGGCAGCGACGAGCACCACGGCGACGGTGTGACGACGACCCCAGCCGCGGAACGCGCGTGGCTGCTGCGCTCGCTGGTTCTAACCGCGCTCGCCGCGGCGGGGAGAGCGAGGGGAGGGGTTCAGAATGGGGGGGGAGCAGCACCGTTGGGGAAGAGGTGGTTGATGAAGTCGACGGTGTTGAACTCCGGCATGTCCAACGACGCCGGCAGCCGCGCCGCCGCCACCGCCGTGCCGTCCGCCAGCGACTGGCTCTGCGGGTCGGCCGCCATGGCGAGCGCGCGATGCGGAAGGCTCTACTCGGTGTGCGTCGGTGCGTGGTGGAGAAACGGAGCTAATTGCTAACGACGTTTGCGATTCGTGATGTGGCCTGGTGTGCATTGCGATTGCTATCTGAAGGGTGTGGTGGTGGATGAGAGGGGAACGCGTGAGCTTTGGTGATTGTCGCGTGTTACCACGTGGTGGTTACAAATTTCAGTTGTGAAAAAAAACCACTTGTAGTGCATCACATACAACCCCAAATTTCGGAAGGACAGACTCTACCGACTTTCTCGAGAGGCTGCCTCTCGTCGCCTTCGGTTTTCCATTGCCCAGTCATGTACCCAACCTTGATCCTCGGACTTCCTGCTTAGCTATAATTAACCGTTGTATTATATTGCTACGTTCATTGTATCGTCAGTTCAGTTGGTCATAGCTTCGGTATTCGTTAATTCCGCGCACTCTGTTTTACAGCTTGACACTTGGTATCAGTGTCAAGAAAAAGAGTACAGCAGAATGACTGAACTAGAAAGGGTTGGGGTACAAGTACTAACCCTAGAATGTGTTGTACCATATACGTTGTGCCCCACTAGCCTGACAAGCACAATTGCAATTTGACACACCCCCATAGGCTAAGTGGGGGACAACAAGATGGTCCCAAGACCAGTCAAGATAACCAAACAAAGCAAAGCTCAGGATGGATCTCAATATCACCATGCAGTCCGAGCACAAGCAAGCGGCCACAAGGCCAATTCACACGCAGAGTTATAACAGCAATGGCAGTACACTGATCACAACGTAGCAAGTGAAAACATGCATGTATACAGATGTATAGCAGTGTATAACAAGGGCAAAGCTAGATCAAGAGACAAGCAAGTGGGGCACAGTGGGCTCAAGCCCAAGAGCACTGCAGAAACGCTGCTGATCACCAGACCCGAGGGCCTTGGTGAAGATATCAGCAGTGTTGGCCTGTGAGGCCACGTAAGCAAGGCGAAGCTGACCACGCTGCTGCAGCTCTCGTGTGATTGAAAAACAAAGAGCAATGTGCTTCGTTCTGTGCTCCAGCCTCTGCTCCCGACACAAGGCAATCATGGCCTTGTTGTTGACGTACAGAACTGGAGGAGAACGAGGCCGCTCACCCAAGTCAGTCAGCAAGTAGGTCAGCCAGCGTAACTCCTGTGCACCCATAGCCCTAGCGTAGATCTATGCCTCACAGCTGGAACTAGTTACAGAAGACGAGCGGGTGGACCTCCACGAGACAGAATCAAAGCAAGCCCCATGCCTGATGTACTGCACAAGTAACGCAGTGCCCTCTGCGCAACCCTGTAGTGCTCAGGGCGGTGCCTCCGGGCGCAACGTAGCGCCCCCGGATGTTGAGAGGGTACGCAAGGTCAGGTCGAGTGCATGTCATCAGGAACATGAGGCAACCTACAAGCTCTGGATACGGACCACTCGGCTCTACGGACTCGTCCGAAGTGTCAAAACACTATCGAAGCGGGTAACCGGGTTTAAGGAGGGCCTAGGCTTAGTAGCCTAGGCCAAGCTATTGTCGAGGTCAAGGCCAAGGGAGTGTCGAGAGAAATTGACCAAACAAGTTAGCTTCACTAAAAGCAAAGCATACAAGATATAGCCTTGAAACAAGGAAACAAGAGGTGCACCACCAACAGCAAAGTACAATAACTACAGTAACTACAGCAAGCAGGATATATCTTAAATATAACTTTGACACACCCCCTTAGCCTGCTTGCAGTAGGAACTAGTATAGTCAACACCCGCTGAAGGGGTACACCTGGCGCGGTGGAAGACGGCAAAGAGGAAAGTGAGGAGGAGGAGGAGGAGAGAGAGAGAGAGAGCGAGGAGAGGAGGTGGGGGGGTGGCCGCAGCGTCCCCTCTTACTAACCCCCACATCCCCACCCCCAATCAACCAACCCCCTTTAACCTCACCCCCCATGTCAACCGCCCCCTAGAACCGCACTCCCTTCCCCCCTTTCTTCCTCCAGACCCCTCCCCACCCACGACGATCCCTGTACAGTCCTTCACAGGTGGGGCTGCTGGTCACAGGTGGGGCTGCTGGTCACAGGTGGGGCTGCTGGTCACAGGTGGGGCTGCTGGTCACAGGTGGGGCTGCTGGTCACGGGTGGGACTGCTGGGAACAGGTGGGGCTGCTGGTCACGGGTGGGGCTGCTGGTCACGGGTGGGGCTGCTGGTCACGGGTGAGGCTGCTGGTCACGGAGCTGGTGCTGGTGCTGGCGGCTGGCCCTGGAGCTGGTGCTGGTGCTGGCGGCTGGCCCTGGAGCTCGTGCTGGTGCTGGCGGTGATCGCTGGTGTTCCGCCGCCACTCCCTTCCCCCTTTTCCTCCCTCACCCCCACAGCATTCCGCCGCCACTCCCTTCCCCCTTTCCCACTCCCCCCCACAGAGTTCCGCCGCCAATCCCTTCCCCTCCTCCCTCTCCCACCCACAGCGACCGCCGTTGCACACGCGAACAGTCGCGACGGGGTGGGTGACGGGCAGGGGGCTGGGGGAGTGCGACGGGCGGAGCGAGGCGACGGGAGGGAAGAAAACGGGACGGGGGGGGAAGGGCCGCGACTGCCACGGACGCCGTCCCCTTTATTCCCGATGCCGCCCCCCCCCCCCCCCCTTTTCCCACTCTCGCGCAAACTCGGCGGCAGGCGTAGGCGCGGGCAGAGGTGGTGACGGGGGGGAAAAGCGACGGGCTGACGACGAGGGAAACGCGACGGGCTGGCAACGCGGGAAACGCGACGGGCTGGCGACGGGGGAAAACGCGACGGGCAGGCGACGAGGGAAAAAACGACGGGCTGGCAACGAGGGAAACGCGGCCAGCTCGCCGCCGCGCCCGTCGCAGCGAGCGCTGTGCCGCGAATGTGTGGGCCAGGATTTTAATCGCTCTATACCATGTCAAAACACTATCGAAGCGGGTAACCGGGTAGCAAACAAGTTAGCTTCACTAAAAGCAAAGCATACAAGATATAGCCTTGAAACAAGGAAACAAGAGGTGCACCACCAACAGCAAAGTACAATAACTACAGTAACTACAGCAAGCAGGATATATCTTAAATATAACTTTGACACGAAGGTGGAGCTGAGAGCGAGTGGCGTGTAGGCAGAGGAGTGGGCTATGGCGAGGAGAACTGAAAGCGGAAGTGCTGAAGGACGTGCTGCACCATGTGTGACTGAGTCAGAGTGATGATGCGTCGTGCTTTCCTAGTTGATCTGCAAGCCAATATAGCTACGTAGCTCACCCAGGTCAGTGTAGGTGTGTCTCTTCTGCAGCTCCGCTTTCACACGAACTAGTGCCTCAGTGTCAACAGTAGCAAAGACCAAGCCGTCGACGTACACGAGGACGTATACCAGTGGCAGAGAAGGGTTGGTGCGCAGAAACAGTGATGGGTTATTAGTCGAAGGAGCAAAACGAAGAGCCGCAAGTGTCGTCCTCAGTGTGTCGTGCCACTCACGGGGCGCCTGGCGGAGACCGTAGACTGGCCGCCGAAGGCTCCACAAGGTACCCTCAGGAAACGACCCAGCGAAGCCAGGTAGGCAGCGCAGCCAGATCTCCTCGTGGAGGCTGCTCTGCAAGAAAGCTGTGGAAAAGTCGAGAGAGTGCAGCTCGTAGTCACGCTATGCTGCAACGTGTAGTAACACCCGAAGAGTGGTCATCTTCAGATTGGGGGAGAAGGTCTGGAAAAAGTCGAACCCCTGCCGCTGACTGAAGCCTCGTGCAACGTAACGCGCCTTGAAGGCAGGCAGAGAACCCGACGGCCGCTTCACCCTAAACATCCACATGCCATCGACTATGTTCGCCCCACGAGGGGGAACTGCGTCGATGTAGGTGCCTGTGGACTTCCAGGAAGCCATCTCTGCATCCATGTCTGTCTGCCACTGAGAGGAGTACTCACCCGTGATCGCCTCTACGTAAGAGCGCGGGGTCGGGATGTCCAGTGCATCCGGGTCCCCCTCAAGGGCAAGCATCATGGCAGCGAGATGAGGTACAGCAGCCGCAAAGCACTCGAGCTCAAACTGCCCGTCCTCAAGGACGTCACAGCCAAGGGCAAGCTCACCCCCGACGGGCGGAGGACAGTTAGACTCAGAAACAAGACTCGCGATGTAGTCAAGGCGGCAGACAGCAGCAAAGACAACAAGCTCAGTGACAAAGGCAGAAGCAGCAGCAGACTCAAAAGTAGGGCCAGTGACATGCGTGTCCGGGTGGCAGTCGGACTAGTAGCACGAGCAATGTCAGACTCAGGGTCAGGAACGCCAGGAAGAGAGGACGATGGAGGAGACGGCAGGGGAACACGCTGTGGAACAGAGGAAGGACGAAGTGCCATCGTGTGAGTGCCAGAGACAGGCGGTGGACGAGCACGACGAGTACGACAAACAGGGCGAAGAGGCGAGGCAGGACGAGACGCAGGCTCACGACGCTCAGTCAGGGAGTCTGTCAACTCAGTGTAAGGAGAAGAAGTAGACAGTGGGGATTCAAGCGGTAACTGTGTCTGAGACGGGTCAGGTGGTGGACACAGTAGAGGAGTAAGACCAGTGGAAGACGGAAGACTGAGAACCGGCGAAGCGCCGAGTTAGGTGGTGGCAGCGACGACTGCGGCTGCGGCCAGAAGAACGGTCGCCGCTGCGGAGCACCCCTAGTACCAGTACCTCCAGTACCTCCAGCTCTAGCACCTCCAGTAACCCCAGCTCCAGTGCCTCCAGCACCAGCACCTCCAGCACCAGCACCTCCAGCACCAGCACCTCCAGCACCTCCAACTCCAGTACCTCCAACACCAGCACCTCCAGTACCTCCAGCTCCAGCACCTCCAGCACCAGCGCCTCTAGGACCAGCACTCCCAGCACCTTCAGCTCCAGTACCTCCAGCACCAGCACCTCCAGCTCCGCCACCGGAGCGGCCTCGTCGGACAACCCACTCGCGAAGCTGCTGCGGCGAGAGAGTCTCCTGCCGACAAGACTGCTGCTGCTGTCCACCCCCTGACCCTCCAGCAGGAGCAC